TTTCTTTGTGCTTGTCATATTAAAGTGGAAGGGTTGTCACGAGTGTGTCCTTGAAACTTGAGTCCCAAGTGGCGTATACAACAGATTGTTTATTTACATCAAATGCGAACACGTGTTGCATGACCACCCCTCAGGTTTAAGACATAGCAAAGAAAAACATAAATCACAAATGAAAGCATGTCCAAGTTATCACATTTTAAACAAACAAGATGGCCACCAGTCTGCTATATTTGATCAAATTGCAAATTGAATTGACATGTACATGTATCCATTTATGACATACTAAATATCAATGAAAATGATACATGGGTGACAGAGATATAGTAATATGGCCAAAAATAAAAACAGCCTTTATTCAGGCATCTTTGATCTGATTATGAAACAAAGTGACATGTATGATGTATGTGCCATATACCATTTGATTCAATTGTGAAAGAAATTGTCCTGGACATGTAACCTAACATGTATAATCTATGTACCAAGTTTGAATGAAAACTGACAAAGCATGTCCAGTTGTCAGTTGGCCATTTTGAATCGAATCGCTAAACCACTGCATGTGCATATGTCCCACCATAAAGTACTAGGCACATGCAAAGAATGAACAGAATCGATCCAAAGGATTCTGAAATATGACCACGGACGAATTGACGAACGAACTGACGGACACACAGACAGACGGATGCACGGACGGTCGAAGAACATGTATCCTAACATGTATAATCTATGTACCAAATTTTAATGAAAGCTGACAAAGCATGTCCAAAATACAACATTTTCAAAAACAAGATGGCTGCCAGTCGGCAATTTTGAATCGAATTGCTAAACCACTGCATGTGCATATGTCCCACATAAAGTACTAGGCACATGCAAAGAATGAACGGAAACAGTCCAAAGGATTCTGAAATATGACTCTGTACAGACACACGGACAGACGGAGACCGATTATATGTCCCCATTTTCGGGCTTCGTCTGAACGGGGACTAATAACCTTCAATAAAACATATAGCACAGTGAACACTAAGAATTCCCTTCTAGACAGACTTTTTTGTAACTATGCATTTTTTGTTGCTCATGTTTGATCAGTTTCACTTGATTTAATAAACTCATTGCATATTACCAATGGATATGGTCTATAAATAACATTTAGAAACACAAAATGGCATTTAAAAATTATTTAATCTATTGTGGAAT